TATTTATTTATCTATTTATTTATTTAAGGTTTAAGTTATTTATTGGTATTTATTGATGGCTGGAAGTCGGGGGGGGGTAATTTCTGCTGTGCAGTGGGGGCAGCTGGGTCCCCCCCTGCCCAGCCCCTCGTTTTTTTTGGGTGCTGCTGCACGTTCGGGAGCACTGCTGGGGAGGGATGTGTGTGGGCCCCTGTGCTCCCATCCCCTTTCAGAGCCAGGGGTGGGGGAGAAAGGAAGGGGAATCCCATTGGTGCCTGCAGGGAGGACACCCGGTGTCCCTCCCCTTCCCGCGGAAGCTCGAAGCCCCTGTGCTCCCTCCTGTGCCCGTCTGTATTTATTGACCAGCCTCCTGGTGTTTCTCCGTTTGGCTCCCACTGGGTTTGCTGTTGCCTGTTCCCAGAGATGGTGAGAAGAGCCAGGGGGTGTGGGTGTCGCTACGGAGCAAAGACCAAACCAGGTATTCTGCTGCCACGTGGGGAAAATCGGAAGAAGAGGAAAGCTAGTTTTGCAGAGTGCCTTAAACACAAATGACTTTACTTTATAGGGGGCTTGGACTTCTGTCTCTGGATGTTATTACCAACTCAAACAAATGTTGCATTTCACTTCTCTGGGATTAAAAGAAAACCACTCGAGCTGTACTGGAACCAAACCCTGTGTGTTTGAGTCCATCTGGCTAGCTTGCACCTCTGGGGCCACAGTGGTGTTGAGGAACAGGCAAGAATTTGTGGGCTTTCTGCTGTCAGCCCCTGCCTGGCTCAGTGGTGGGACCAGGCCCTGCCCCTGCCAGCTTTTAAGCCCCTGGGTCTGGTGATGGGACTTGCTCCCCCTTGTCCTGACTTGCAGGTGGTGTCTCTGGTGTCCCAGAGGGGCAGTGCCCCTTACGGGGCGATGCTCACAGCAGCCCGTTTGCACAAAACTTGACATGGGGCTGTGTCCTCAAGCTTCCAGAAAATTGGGCAGTTGGTTGGAAAGGTCTGGGTGGGGTGGACAGACAGTCCTCTTTCCATTGGGAAACCAGATCAAGGCCAGTGCTGTGTGCTGAGAGAATAGCAAGAAACCCAGGAGCTCATGCAGTCCAACTGTGGGGAACTACGGAAGCTGCCAAGCTTGATAAGGAAAAAACAAAACAAAACAAACCAAACCCAAAAAAGAAAACAAAAAAAAAAACAACCACCACAAAAAAGTCATGTTTCCCCTTTGAAATTGAGATCCCCCTCCTACTTGCAGAGTGGAAGAGGGAACAGAAGTCAACCTAGATACTGGGTGTCTATCTTTTAAAGATAATACATGAGGATAATGCAGGATTACATGGCAAAAGGTCAATTTCAGTCATTTTGGGAAAAATACATATATGCATTGTGTAGTATCTGGAAGCAATTAAATATTAATAGATTCACTTTTTTTAATGAAAGAGAGAGGTCTTGGTAATGCAGGCATGTTTGGGGAAGGCTGTTCCAGGGGTGTGGCCTGGCCTGCACACTGGGGGGAAGGACAGCAATAGGAAGGACAGCAGAAGCCAGCGGCTCTGGATCTTGTCTGAGGATGGATGCGCCACATCCCAGGTGGGTGTGGGTGCTGCCCCAGGATTAGGGTCTGTGGGATGCTAGAGGGTACCTCATTGCTTTTTCCAGTCCTGCCAGCCCCTGCGTGCTGTGGGGTACGTGTGTGCCCTGAGCCAGCTGCTTTGTTTACCAGCTGCCCATCCCGAGTGCTGCTGAGCACGCCGGGCAGCGAGCGATGCCGCAGGCAGCCCACCCACCGCTGCCTGAGCAGGTTTCTGGCCTAGTGCTGAGCTAGAACACCGCTCGTCTCCTGGCAGACCCCCGAGGTGTAGGTGTGGGAGAGCAGGGAGGAGTTCACGTGGCTTCTGCCATGCCCGCTCATGCCCTGGTTGTTGGGCAGGACCCCACACAACACAGCTAACAAGGGGCCAGGCTGAGGCACGTTCCCTGGGCAGACGTCTCCGTGCTGCCACCGAGGTCCTGCCGCAAAGCGGGGGCAGCACAGCCACCCCCGCCCCGCTGCCTGGGGCTGTGTGCCCTGGGACAACCTGCATTTCCAACGGGCCTCACTGACAGGGCAAGAACAAGGGCTGTCTGTGCCGCTGCCACCCACCCAGAAGCATGGGCACACATCCCAGCTGCACGGCCACAGGGAACCAAGCAAATGGTGCAGGGTGCCCTGAAGGGCAGCAGAAGCAGACGAAGGCTACCACAGGTAGTACTACACATCAGTTTATTTGCTCTATTCCTCCCTTCCACGAAACCTGAAAATGAGAACCTTCCAGCAAGAGATGAGAAAGCAGCAAGTGTGAGATTTGGCTCTGCAGCTCCTCCCCTACGCACGGGACCAGACAAGGGTGTTAACACTTTAGTGAGGGCTGCTCCAAAAGACACGCAGCAGTTTGGAGCCCCTGGAGCTCCCCGATGGGAGGTGTGTGAGCCCAGCAGGACACCCCTCCGGGGCCTGGCTGCTGACACCACACATCTCGCCATGCCTCTGGGAAAAGCTCGCTCGGCTGGTGCCCAACAGGGGAGACTCCACAGCATGAGCCCTGGAGCCCCCACTGGCCAGCTAATCTCTTCCTGGTGCAGCTGATTCAAGGCAAGAAAACACACCCAGGGTTTTAGTTTTGAGGGGATGTGGGGGATAAAGGGATGGGGAGGACTGGTTTAGTATTGTGATGCACCACCAGCGCCACGGTACAAGGCTGCTGCTCACAGTGTCAGGGAGGCAGGAGCTGTGCATGGGGAAGACTCCTGATTCCAAACGACGTGCAGCCCACTGGGACAGATGGACAGACCCACTCACTCAGGCTGTGGGGTGTAACGCAGGTACTTCTTCCCTGACGGGAGATCCTTTGTGAAGACTCCTTTGGGAAAGAGCTTCTTGGCTTCCTCATCAGGTAAGGTGGGCACAACCATGACACTGTCACCAGGCTGGGGAGCAAATGAGAACCATCAGAGGAGCTGGCAGGCTTGGATGCAGGTGGCACATCCCTGCTGGGTCCCCAAGCACACTCAGCCCCAGCAGCCCGGGTATGTCCTCTGTGGCTCTACCTGGAGCTAGCAGTGAGGATTGAGCAGGAGCTACAACAGGAGGTGTGGGTGATGTCAAAAGGGAGCTGTGCCATCTGCCAGCCCTGCCAATGAGAACTCACAGCGTTCCCGTGGGAACAGGGAGCAAAGAGAGGGGAATTTGGGCATCTCTACAAAGCAGGAGAGAGCACAGCTTGCCTGAGTCTCCTCATCTACTCCTATTGCTCAGGCCACCCTGGACTAGCAGTGCTGACGCCCCAAGCGCTGGGGAAAGGTTTGCTTCCCTGGGAGGTGGGCTGGTGGGCGAGCTGGCCCCACACTGCTTGGAGCTCTTGCTGCAGAAGACAGGTCTTCAGAGGCAAGGCTGCCTCACGCTCTGCTTTGCCCCAGGGTTGAAGGTGTTCTGCAGTCCACGTGGACGCTGGTGCTGAGGGGTGGAGAGGCTCAGGGAAGTGCTCCAATGCCCCAAGTTACTCAAGCTCTGAGGCTTGTGCCTATGGGGCCTTCCTGCCCAGATGGAATGGGTGTTTGGGACAATGCTCTGGGAGCCTGGCCCTGTCTCGCAACACAGGACTTCTTCAGGACACCCTGCAACATCAGGAGTTTTCCTTGGGCTTCAGGCAGGCAAGCTTCCCCAGTAACCACTGCCAAAGCCAGCAGCAGGACAAGCCCAGGAGCTGAGCATCTCTGCTGGGCTGAGGAAACACTGGCTGGCTAAAGTGGCCAGACTCTCATGCTCGCTCTTGCTTTATCTTGGCTGCCCAACCCGTTTTGGACAGTTTTAAATAATGCCACTGAATGGGATGAGCACAACTGAGCAACTTCAGCTAGTAACTTTCCACAAGGACAGGGCTCGGCTGTGTACGTGCTGGGCAAAGCAGGGCTGTGCCCACACTGGCCCCTCCTGGCTCAGAGGCCGCAGAGCAGCGAGCTGGCCCAGGGAGGGCTGCCCTGCACTTGCTGCTTCGCTGGCTTTGAGTGGCCTTTGGCACACTGGCAGCTGGTAATGCCCTTCCTTATCATGGACAAACAAGGGCAGGACCTGCCTTGGCCCAACACTCCTGTACTGATAGCCAGAAGGGCCAAGCCCACTATTTGCTGGCACTAGGGACTGAGGGCAGGGATGGGAGGTTCCTATGGCTGACTTGAGGATGCAACAGCCCTGGGGCCTGAGCTGGGATCTAACTCCTAACCCAGGACCTCAGCAGCTTGCCCTACCCCGTGAGTCCTCCTCCAAGGGAGGCTGGTTGACATTCAGTGCACGTTTTCAGTGCCTTGCTGGGAGCTTTACTCCCCTCCTCACCTTCCAGTCCACAGGGGTAGCGACCTTCTTATATGCTGTCAGTTGCAAAGAGTCCACCACTCTCAGGATCTCATCAAAGTTTCTCCCAGTGGTGGCTGGGTACAGGATGGAGAGCTTCAGCTTCTTATCCGGGCCAAAAACAAACACCTGAGCACAGGGGAGACAAGGTCAGGCACTGGGCAGAAGATGTTTGTCCCGCTGCCCTGCTCAGCCATCTGCTCCTTGCTTTCCTGGGACGTGGCCTGCTTGATCGAAGGTGTTGGGACAGGGAAGATGCCACAGTGGGGATCTCCTAGAGCAAGTGAGGCCCAGGCACAGGGAACATGGTGTTTGCTCTGGGAGCTCATTTCCAGTGCCCGCTTGAAACACTTCCTCCCCTTGACCTGTGCCCTTCTAATGCAAGCACAGAAGGGGAGAGGGCAAGTCCAGATCAAGCACTTTTGTCTCCCCTGTTAGGAAAGGCACAACCAGGATGAGGTGGTGGCAACAGCAAGATGGAGCTGTTGCCAGCAGGCCAGCACTGCACCAGCCTCTTCCTGCAAGCACAACCCATGGATCTAGCCCAAAGAAGTCAACCTAGCACCTGAAGATGGTCATATCCATCCAGGTAAGCTGCCCTCACCTTCAAACCCAGCCCCACAGACACAGGGCAGGATGTCAGGTGATGCCAGCTGCTGAGAAGGCTGCCAGGGCCACGTACTCACCACGCGAGCAGTCAGGGGCATGCCGTCCTTGTCCTGCTCATCTGGGTCCAGCATGCCCAGCTTGACAGCCAGCTCCCGTTTTGCATCAGCAATGATGGGGAAGGGCAGTTTCTCCTCGGGCTGCTCCCCGTTGTACGCGTTGATGTCCTGCAGAGACAAAACCGTTGGCATGCTCATGCTCCCTGTTGTGGGTACCACTGTGGGAGATGGAGGCCAGGCAGGGAGACCTCCACGAAGGCTTCACATATGTGGGGCAAGCTCCTGCAGAAGGGCCACAGAGAAACATTGTTCAGCAGCTGCTCTATAGGAGCTTTGACTTGCTTGGTCCCAAGGTCTCAGGTGGGGATAGCATATCCAGGGGCTCATGGCCTTCCATGAAGTTTCTTTGCTTCCAGAAGCCAGGTGACAAATGAGAAACCTGTATGCCAGGCCAGACTCTACCTTGTTCTTAGAGGTTAGCTGTTACACTGTCTATGCTCACATTGTCACTCACCTCTGAAACTGCCCGTGGACCAGCTGCTTTGCCAGGCAATGGGTACAGAGAAATAGGGAAGCCCTGCTCATGCTACGGAGCTCGTACAGGGAGATTTACCCACCATTCCCTGGGATGAGAGGTGTACCTCTTCCAACCCTCTCACAGGAAGTGATCTAGCACCGAAACCAGGACAAGGAAACTGTGTTCTGAGTGCCTCTGAATCTGGTCTGGACTTGGCCAAAGCATTCAAGTTATCCTTGTAGTTTGTGTTACCACCTGTATAGTTCCTGACTGGGAAGAGCCTGCTCAACGCAGAAGCAGAGCAGCTGCCAGCATTGCAGCAAGTTTAATCCAAGGTTTCTGCCCCAGAACAGAGCTGCCTGTTCCTTCCGTCCCCTTTACGCCTCGGGGAACAAAACTGATTGCAGTGCTGACACAAGCCTCCCACGCGCCACTGTGGTGTGTTACCAGCCGAGCTCATGGTCTGCATGTGCAAGTTTCTCTGCCCTCCCTGGGCTTTGAATGGGGGGGAACAAGCTGGGTACTACTCAGAGGGAGGGCAGGGTTGGAACTGCTGCCCCTTGGCACTGTCCACTGCTGCTCAGAGCGTGCCAGAGGCAGCGGGAGCAGGCAGGGCCTGCACCACTCCTCGGCCCTCCTAGGCTGACAGTAGTGATGTAAAGGGCTCTAACCCTGCCCTGGCTGCTCAGGATGCTGTAAGAAGGTCAAGTGGTGCACATGTGGCAAGATATTTCCTTCCAGCTTTTCTATTTGCTTGTTTTCTCCCCAGGGCTTTCTGAGTCGGCACTGCACTGGAGAAAGGGGCTGTCTATCTCAGCTGGGTTGCGGTCAGGCCTGCCTTGGAAGAAAGGGTCAGTTCTGTTCTCCTTGCCAGGGCAGAGCAGGGAAGGCAAGCACAACTGGAGAGGCCAGCCCAGGCAAAATGCTTCTGAATGCCTCACAGAGTAGCAGGAAGTTGTAGATGAAGGTCAAACAGCAACACCACACCACCCCCACCTTCACAATGGGGACTGGAGGGTAAAGACAGCTTCTGAGAAGCAATATGTAGCTCATTCCAAAATGCTTGTAATTTCATGACCTGGGGATCTCTGTACAAAACAGCCTGACAAATCCCACCCTATTTTGCAATATGACACCCAAGACTCACTCACTTCCTTATAAGCTATTTTTCTTTCCAGAGTTTAAGCTGAAACCAGACATCACTGGAGGTACTTATTCACCCCTGACTCACCAAAGTGAAGGCATCAGTTGCCAAAGAGAGTACTGAAACCATCTATAACAGGCAGAGCACATGACAGTAAACCCTGCTTAAGGAGCTCATGCGTTCATCCAACCCTGGGAGAAGTGGTGCACAGACTGGGGAGGTAGGAGAGTGGGATCAGTCCCTTATGGAGCTATAGGCTTGTTCTGAGTCCTGGAGCGTGCCTCTGGGTCTTGACTAGGGATGGCTAAGCACAGCAGTGACATCTTTTGCTGGGCATGCAGAACTGGGAAAAGCGACATGAGAATTACTGGTTCTACCTTTCCCGGCCCCATCTGTCCACTGAAATTCAGAAGCAAAGCAAGCAGAAATTTGTTTGTTGTTTCCTGCAGGATTTCAGCCACTTGCTCCCTCCCAGGCTGTGCTGATGGAAACCACCTCATCCCCTCACTACTGCTAGGAGCTTCATCCAAAGAGAAAGTGCAGGCAGGTAAAGGAACATTGCAGTGAGAGGTCTGCCCAAGGTTTTGCTCACTCTTGGGCCTTCTCTGCTTTGTCAAGGACAAAGGAAAAGGATCACATGTACTGGCAAGGTCTAAGAGCAGAGCAATCACACGCTTGTCCTCTTATGTCCTCCACAACGCACGCACGCTGCCTTCACTGCTCCTCCATGCTCCCTGCACCACTCAGTGTCACTGCCTGACACATCCTCCTGTTCCCAGGCTAAAGAGCCCCACTTGCTCTTCACTGAAGCAAACCTGCCCAAATCTGCAGACAGCCTTCTGCCCCCTCTGCACCTTTTCTTGTTGTCCTGGAGTCTGTGACACGGGCGATTTCAAACACAGGCTGTGTGGAAGACTCCAGTCTGCTATGGATTTGTCCTCACCAGCTAGATGTTTTGCTCTGGAGGGCTTTCAGAGTTTTCTTTTTGACAGGTGCTGAGCTGGCATGTCCAAACCACAGTCTCTGAGGCCTCTCCCAGTCTGACAGAAAGCTCACTGTAGCTGGGACTGCTGCCCTTTGCCTTTGTGTGTGCTTGTTCTGGAAGGTTTTCCCAACGTGCTACTCTGCCTCTCATCAGTCAGTGTTGAGAGGCTGTTCTGCAACTTCTCCTGGTTTTACCTGAGGTTGTGCTGAGTAATTCTGTAGCATCAGCAAAGTCAGCTTGTTGTTCACCTCTTTTCCAGATCACCTGAGTATGCTGAACTCCACGTGTCCCTGCAGATCATCAAGGGAGCTCACCAATTCTCTCCCTTGACACAACTCACTGCTTCCTCCTGTCTCCCTTCAGAAAAGAGCCTGCCCTTCACAAAGCTGATCTGGTTTTGAGCATTTTGTAAAAATCCGCAATACTCTATAGTCATTCAGAGGGCTTTAGCCAGCCAGGAGATGAGACTCCCTGACAAAAGCAAAACCCAAATTTTTCTTTATACTTAATGGGATGCTATCTGCTAACTTGACTGGTAGTTTCAGCCAGTTTGACCAGCACAGAAATCTCATTTACTGGTGTAGGATTTGTACACTGAGGCCTTCTGAGGCTTGGTGGGACGCTGGCCACGCACTGCTCAGGTACAAAGGTCAATTTAAGCAATAAGGCAATTAAGCAATTTCTACAGCCAGACAGTCATGAAACAGTGTTTGAGTGTAGAAATTTCTCACCTTAACTACCTCTTATTGCATGCATGTCTCACCCCTGGAGAATGCTTGAGAACATTCCCAATTGTAAGAGTAAAGAAAGAGGCAGGTAATTCACAAAGGGAGTTTTGCACTCTGGCCATATGTCTGAAATGCTCATTTTACACCCCTGCCACCAGCGAGCCCTGGAGTCATACTCCCTGGCGGTGCACCAATGCTGAGGCTGTGCTTGAAGCTTTCATTAGTTCCTTTTATGTTCCTTCATCCAGATATTTCTTTCCCATCTCTTTTTTATACTCTCATGATGGTTTCATATTTAACATTGACTGATTTGTGATTTTACATTTAACGTGCCCCTCTTTGTTCTCTGTTGGGTTGGTGTTTTCTTTTTTCCCATTGACTGGGCATGAATCGCACCCTTTGAAGACTGTCTGCTCACTTCTGATGCTTCCTTTCCTATTTCTTTACAGCACTTTTTCAGGGTCTGCAGATAGATTGCCTTCCTCCGAGTTTTTGGCACCACCTCACATTCATTTTACCCTTTCAGGTATTGGCAGGAGAGCAGCAATACCGCTTTCCTTTTCTTTCACAGTGCCACTGCACAGAGTGCCCTGGTCTTTGTGCAGCACTCTACGAAGATGGAGCAGACTGTCCATCTGGCTGGAACAACAGTTCCTCTGAATTTTAGCAGCTCCTATCCTGCATGCTTCAGGACTGGAGACACGCAGTCCTGGGCCCGTGCTCTGTTCTGCGTGTGCTTTTCCCCCGGCAGCAGCGCGAGCTGCCCCTGCACCCCCAGGGCCCGTACCTTGCTCCAGGAGAGGTGGTCCTGGACGCTGTCGATGGAGAGGGCGATCATCTTCACGTTGCGCTTCTGGAACTCGGGCGCCAGCTTCGCCGCCCGGCCCAGCTCCGTGGTGCACACGGGCGTGAAGTCCCGCGGGTGGGAGAAGAGGATGCCCCACCTGGAAGGGGAGAGCAAGACCTCCCGTTAGGGTGCGATGCTCTTCAGGCTTGTACTGCAGACAAAAAGCTGTACAGATTGCACGGCCTGGAGACTAGTGCGGGGATCCCTCTGCTAAGGGGAAATCCTGCCCCGGGAACTCTTCCTCCTCTATCGCTAGCAGCCTTCAGCAGACAAGCCCTGTTCACTAAGCTCCTAGAAACTCTCTACTGCTTGCTCCCCCTCTCCCACCGAGATCCCACAGGGGATGCTGGAATTGCCTGTGGAGCTCAATGTGGACGCAAACACCGTGCCACAGAAAGAAGTCTGGGGGAGCCACAAGTACACTCGGTACCCCAGAGACCACACGTGCAAAGGGGTGTAGATGCCAACCTGCCAGCCACGTTATTGCAGAGTTCAGCATGGATTTACAATGCTGTTTGCTATCCCGTACGCCTCGTCAACCACCGTGAGGAAGAACACCCACGTATATCATGCACCTTAAAAGAATGGGATGGGACCAAACCTCAACCCAGCTGCTGCTGTGAGCTGCCACACAAACTTAATGAAAAAAGTAAGAATTAATCAACCAATGCAGGAGGCCGGAAGTTAACATCACATTACGGCTACAGTTAGACCTAGTTTTTGCCCACCACTTCCCATCAGTGGATTTTGCAGTCACCAGGGCAGGCAAATACTCATCACCCCATTTTACAGGCAAGGCAGGTGGCATACAGAGAAAGGCAGCAGTGCAGCCAAGCAGCGCGGTGTGGTTCTGGCAGAGCAGCTCCCAGCTCTCAGGAGTTTCCAGAAGCTTCAAACTCCCTGCCAGGGACTCGTCACACCTTTTCTCATCTCAGCACTCCCAGGGCTAACTGCACCCCTCTTCACCTGGTCGCCAGTGCTTGGTAAATACAGCCATGTGCCACAGCAGCTGGGGAAAGCCCCATCTTAGAGATTTGGGAATGGAGCCAGAGGGATCAAGTGGGGCGCCCTGCAGCTCTGGCAGAGCCCTGTGATTGCCATGGCCCACCGTGAAGTTCTGGGGCAGCGACCTGGCCACTGCTGCTGCAAGTCTCTTTATACGGAAAGTATGCTACTTGAATAAAAGGGCAACAAACAACCAAGTAGAAGCTGGCCAAAAAAAGCTGCTATGTGGGTGATGGGGCTGGATAGGAGTCCTGCTGTTTATTTTCTTGCTAATAAGGTTCCTTTTGCCCCGCTCGCCCAGTCTCCCAGTGCTGGCAGCACCAGTCTCGAGCGCTGATTCAGGCCTGCCAAGCACTGCTGGGAGCGAGTCCCGGGCGCGTTGTGCCAGCGCACTCGGCCACGGGCTTCGAAATGGGGCCGCGGTGCCTGGA